GACATTTGAAACTATCCTGTGCTTGTATTAGTGAACATATTTATATATTTAACTTTAAATATAACACATAATTTTCGCATGTATACTAAAGAAACTGGAAAAAAAAAAGAAATTAAAACTGAGTTCTCAAACTTTAAAATATCAATAATCAAATATTTAACAAACTTCAAAATATATCAACTATCAAAACTATCCGGGCGTAGCCCAATAAAACGTTCATTACTCTAGAGAGAGCTAATAAACTTAATACTTATTTATTTTTGGATCAAATTTGGTGCATGCCCTTACGGCAAAAGTTGAACCCAAAACTAGGCCTGGACTTTCGGTTATCCATTCGGTTATCGGTTGGGTCTATTCGGTTTTCGGTTCTTTCGGTTCTAAAATTTAGTATCCATTCGGATATTTTGAAATTTCGGTTCGGTTTCGGTTTGGTTCCACAGATATCATTTTGAGTTAAAAAAATTTTTTTAACCACTACAAGAAAATTGTTCATTGATAGCGCAAAACATCTGCTATCTTACGTTATAGATAGCGAAATTACAAATGCTATGATATCGGCAGCTATGGTAGGTGTTTCCCATATGATAGCATTTTTTGGAATGCTATTATAGGTTGCACTACCATAACATTAATTAAATGCTATATTCGATTCAATTGTAGCTCATTATTTATGCCACGATATATTATGTTATAGCATTTTATCGATTCTATTTTTTTCAATTAAAATTGACACGTTTTGAATTCTATATTTGATATATTTTTATATAAATTAAATCTGGTCAAAATATATATTTAAATATATTTTTATTTCATAGAAAATCTATTAAAAACATAAAGTCTTACAAAAGACTAATCCAAACCAAATCTTATATAAATACATCAACGACTCTTAAATAACAAGAGTACTAATTTATGAGATAAGGGGCAAAGAGAAACAAACTTCCCCTATCGACAATCACATATTCTACTAAACACAATCAACTAACTTGATCAAACAAATTTTCTTTTCTAAATCTTACCGCCTAAACAAAGCATTCACGTGCCATCAGCCATAACTTTTACCTTGAAATCATCACTTTGTAGTTCATAGAAGAAGAGGTTGGAAGAGGAAGATCGCTTGGTCATTATCCGCCCTAGCTAAGTTTAATCCAATACTCTAGACTATTGTTGCCATTTCCATATCATGTTCTCTATGTCCTCCTTACAATGACGTCCTTCTTGCATTGACCGCATGCCCATCTATCATTCAGTGCAAATCATGCTAAGATTGTTTTGGATCCTTAGTACCAGCCTGAGGAAGTAGAAATAGAATACAAATCAAAAGTAAATAAGGAATTAGGATTCTAGCTTGAAACAACCAGCGAATAACCATATACTCACAGGAAATGTAGGATTGTGAAAATCATCCTTAAACACAGTTTCAAGATCAGGTGTGTCATAGCGGCCATCACAAAGATCTATACCTCCAATAAAAGCTGTGACCTTACAGTTATTACCAACATCTTGAGTGTCTACAAGAACACACTTTTGATGGTGCATGAAGAAGAGAGAATGCCAACAACCTGAGAATTAAAACAAAGAACTAAACCTGAGAGAGAGAAAAAAATCTTCCATGGAAAGATAATAGCTATACCACACGAAATTACCACAACATTTTGATACCCACATGTGGCCATTAACTAAGCCACTAATAAACATGGATTAGAGTCAAGACGTCTCTTATAATTGAAAGCAAACATCCACAATTATTAGTTACGAGCAAATAGCTTTACATAACTATATATGACCACGTAAATAAATAAATAAAGACAGTTTCTTACCATCTTATTAATAGATCTCTCTTCGAACATGAAAGCAGAGCCATTCTCTGGCATTATTACGAAAGTAAAGAATAGTTACCTTGAATGAAGAGTTTCTAGTTACCTAGTGGTGGTCTTAATCAATAGACGTTTTTCTATTCACAAAACTTGAGGTTATAGTGTTAACTGGACAAAACCAAAACTCTCCACATTAAAATGAGATGCCAAATCACAATTACAAACTTCTTAGCACTAAGAGCTTACTTAAATCGAGAGGAAGGTCATTTGGTAGCAGCTGGAAGTAATTTGATGGGGTTTAAGATTTGGTTTTTTCCCTTGCTTCCATACCTACGTAATAACTAGGCCATGATATAACTTTTAACTTAAAAGGTCTAAACTCTCAAACCTAGAAAGGTCTAAACTCTCAAGCAAATGTACATAGAACCCTAGACTCTCCAGTATAGTAATAGACATTACCTTGGTACCATGAGCCCTGGAAACAAGCTTCTTCCCAACATTCTTGCTGGTGAATGTAGCACTAGCCTACACTGTCATACCAATCCTTCTTGGAGATTTAGAACACATTTTTTTTCAATATACAGATGTTAAAAACAAAATCTGAAATGATTATTCAGGGAATCTGTTACTCACGCCTTCTTCTTTCCTCCTTTCTGAAATGATTATTCAGGAAATCGTCTTGTTCTTCCTATAGATCGAACAATACCGTGGATCGGAACATGATACTCTTGAAGCTATTGAATGAGAGATCTTTTTTTTTTTGATAAAGTTGAATGAATTAGATTTCGATACAGAATCTGGAAATGTAAGCGAGGAAGATAGAGATGCAAAGAGAGATTTACCCGAAAGCCATGATTAGGGGTCTTATGGTGGCGACGCCGAGCCACAGTGAAGAAGAAGGGGCCAGCTTCAACAATTGAGAGAAAGCCCTAATTCACCAGCTATCGATTCAGAAGAGAAAATCATAAAGAGAAAACAAATCGGGATCACTTTGGTCTGAGGATAAACACCTCTACAGGTAGGCGAAACGAGAAGCATGTAACAGAGGACAAAATTGTGGCAAGTGACGGAGGAAGAAATTGGGGCCAGCGACATGGTTAGTACCTACATCTAGCTTCGACGGTGGCAGCGGCGAGATTAGTGTGTGGTTGGGGCGAAATTGGGATGGGTGGCTAGGTCTAAGCGATTTTGTTTAGGTATAGAGAAAAAGGAGAAAAATCTGGAAGTATTCGTGGTTTAGTAAATTTTTGGCTAAATATTGGTAGAATAGTGGATTTTAACCTTCCGCTTATAAATTTTCTATTATAGCATTTATTAGATGCTATTATATAGTAATCGCATTCAAAAATGATCATTCATAGCAATTCGAGAAACCGTGCTATAGTCAAGTGCTATCAATGAAGACTTTTTTTGTAGTGAACATTCTTAATTATCTAGAGATATTTGGAATATTTTTCCCGCGATATCTCGGAGAGCTCTAAGCTCTATAGTAGTAGTAATAATCAGTTAACGTACTCTAAATATAGACGCAAATTAAAAAATGTACCCTAAATACAAAGGTAAAAAGATTGTAATAGTTGGCACAAACAGAGACGTAAATGTTTCAAGACATTGAAACAGTCATATGTAAAAATAGTTTTCCGACTGAAAAAAGGTTAAATATTACAAAGTACCGATTCCGTTATTCTAACATTCTTATGGAATATTATTTGTGGCTCTTTTTCATATCAAAACTAAATGTCGACATGAAAAATAACAACAAATGTGTATATGGCCTTTGCAACAGATTTCAGTTTTCAAAACGTTTTTAAAAACTAAGCATGAAGAACAAGCCAAATCCCAAAAACCAAAGGTAACGAAACGAGGCAAATTCTGACGACAAGGGAAAACAAAGTCATGACGTTTAACATTCAGAAATTGATAAGAACCCTTGTGTGGTTGCTTGTAGTGCACGTCACCGTGGTCTCCTACGCCGGGAGGTCACATTTTGTCACAACGGAGCTGAAGATACGAAATGGAATGCAAGGCTTGAAACGTCCAGAGATCGTTTACCACTGTCATGCTATAAATAGTGGCCTTGATTATGGATGGCGACGAGCCACAAGGCCACCATTGGGCCATTCCTTCCATGTACTCTTGGAAGGCGGCGAAAAACTAGAGGAGGAGATTCACCGCTGCCATTTCCGGTCAGTGCTCGGTACAGCGGATGTCGATATCCGTATGACCGCGATTGATGCTGAGATTTGTAATTTTAAAAAGGCATGTGCGATTCATGAGGTTACACCGGAAGGGATAACATTTGATGGTAAAGAATGGAATTTTGAGGAGAGGTATCCAAGGCTGATACCAAAGAAATACCTCGAAGCGAAGTGGAAACCTTGGCCACGACGCACCAACCGTAGCAGTGGGGGCCAGGGAAGCGGACGTCGACCCTCGGGTTCACAATGATTTAGTGCCCATAAGGCTAAACCATCCATATGGATCATTGTGGTTTCAAAGGGAAAACTTTGTTAAGAAATTTCTGATGAACATTACAATGGAGTTATTATATGTTTGTGGAAATTTTGTTTATCTTACGTTAGTGTGCATTCTTTTAAATTATTTGAATCCCTTTATCTTTTACACTTGGAAATTTTACATTTTAGTTTGTACAATTGCAAAAATATTACAAATTTATGTTTAGGTTTCAAATTTTCTATCCTTCTGTTATTTTATTTCAAGAAACAATATCTCAGAAGAAAAGTTAGACAAAAAAAAAAAAAACAAGCCAAAACTTTTATTATTGATGTAACAAGATATAGATACTTTTAAGTAGGTTTTATTATCTACGTTTCATTCTTTAGCTAAAATATTCATATGTTTACATACTTTTTGGGGTTCTTTTAGCTAATTTAGCTCGAAAACATTTCCAGTATATCGTGGCTAAGTAGTGACAAAAGAGGAATAATTATTTTTAAAAAATATATCACTAATTCGTTCGTAATTTCTCGTAAAATAGAATTTTATAGTAGTTTAATAAATTATATATATAAATAATTATTTGTCTCCAATTTGATTCTTAAATAAATATAAAAATTAAATATATATATATATATATTTATTTATTAAGTTACTAAATAGTCTAATATGCTATTAAATACAAAATTCATTAATTTGTTATAACGAAAAAATTACGTGACTAGAATAAACTACAAAAGTTCCAACGGATCGGAACGGTTGACAAATTCACTTGGGGTATATATATATTGATGAATTCCACGTTCGAACATACTATAACTATAAAACTGTTTCTGAAAATCTAGATGGAAATAAAGAAAATTCGAATTTAGAATTTTTCAAAAAAAAAAAAAAAAGAGGATCATTAAAAAAATAAATACATAGGACAAAGTATAAGAACAGATAAGAAGAGAACTATTGAGAGATATTATAAGCCATTAGAACTGATCTGTCCCACTAATGCCAACCCGCCATAAGATCACCACCAGTAGAATGATACGCATAGACCGTAGTCCAAAGATTCACCGTTGGTAGACCCGTTGTTAATTATTTTTAGATTATTTATTTTAAGATTCACTCGTTGCAAAATTAAAAATATGATTATTTAAATATAATATATTAAATTTTAATTTCGTAAGTAAATCTTGCTATTTAACAATGAAGGAGTTGTTTTTGTTGAATAACATTTTATGACGAAAGAAATCCATTATATTGCTAATGGATTCAAGAACATAGTTTAATCTTTTAAAGGAAAATATGGCCATCGATAATTGAGTTGTTGTAGTGTTTGATAAACTCAATTCATCATTTTTATGTAAAGTTCTTATTTTCTATCAGAAATATAAATTAGGTACCCACAAAAAATTCTGTAAAATACAAATACCAAGGCCAAAAAGAAACAAAATTATTTTTATATTTCTCTTTTGCGTTTATAAGGGAAAAAGATGGTTAAACAATTAAACTTTAGGAGTTGGTTCGTTTGTAAGAAACTACATTATTACATGTCGGTTATTCTCCACATTATAAATTTACATTATATATTTGAAAGTTTTAAGAACATCTCTAATTTGATCATATATAGTTTGGAAAAGAATGATAGCAATTTCGTTTTGATAAAGAGAATCAAAATGACTTCATAAAATTTATAATAAATAATTAACGGCACTAATGTTAGAATTTGGATACACTTTCTGTAAATCTATTTAGATCATGTCTTTTTTTTTTCATTGTTAAAGAACTATGTAGATCATGTCCTCATATTTTTTTTTAGATCATGTCACATTCAATGTTAAGGTTTTTGGATTATTCCCTAATCCCTAATAACTATTTTAACATTTAACGTCCGATGGTATAACGGAAAACTAAATTTGAGTACCAAACACAAGCTTTAGCGCAACTAACATAAACGTGTAAGAAAATGTACACATCACCGGAAAATACTGTTAGAAGTTCTAACAATAATATTGTTTAACTTTATAATGTTTGCTGTAACAAATCAATTGGTATCACTAATTACTACATTGTTAGAGATAACTTAGGTCCCTTTTATTATTATCCGACTATATACACTGATTTTTGGAATCGGTTATCTCGTTAGTACCTACAAAACTAATTTCCTTCCATAACTTTTCGTTTTCTTTTTTAAATATATAAAATCAAAAGATAATTAAAGTGTCATCAAGAAAGAAAACCAATAGAAGAAAAAAAGGAAAAAGAAATAGTGTTGCCATTAAAGCCCTAGTTTAGAATTGGAGATAACAAAAGAAGAAGGAAGAAAAAATGAGAGGGGAAAATGGTGTTGCGATTAAAGCCCTAGTTTGGTGTCTTGTATTGCAAGCTATCATATTTCAAGGCGATTCGATGGTAGGAGACGTGGGTTTCAAGCTAATGATGAAGAACGAAATGTATGGCTTGAAACGTCCATCGGTTCTCTACCGGTGCAAGTCGTCTGACAAATCCCTTCGGTGGCACATATCGATTCCCCATGCGGAATTTACATGGGATTTCGAAGTCCCGCCATTTGGAACCGGCGTGGTCATCCACCGTTGTGAATTCAAGTCAAGCCAAGGGACAGCGGAGGTTGAGATTAAGACGTTGTCGATGACATCTACGTTGTGCGGAGGGCATTTGTGTAAATATATCATTAGGCCGAATGGTGTATACTTCGTTGGTTTTGAGACCTATTATCCGCACAATATCTTGTTAAGATTTCTTGAGTTCGTGAGACCTGTTGACAAGCTTGTCGAGCCATGGAAGGCGTGGTCTCCACGGCAGCTAAAGGCTTTGCGGGAACGTACCAGCAACAGAACCAGGTCACACGATGACAAAGATGTTGATGAGGACGAGCAAGACGATGATTAGGACAGATCATTTCTGTAATGTCGCTTACCAAAGTAGCAAAACGTTTTACTAAAAAAAGGCAAAGAAAAACCTAAGAAAGAGAACATAACGTTAGAAGTAGTTGAATTTCTTTGTGTGATATGTACAAATTTTTTATCTACAGATGGTATTGAATCGATCGTGTTGGTCATTGTCGTTTGTATCATGTGGTGGACTAATTCTCTCGTCCTTTTTTCGGCCAGCGTATGGATTTAATTTAATTTTGTTAAAATTTCTTTTTTACGGCTTACATATTCTTTCTTTGATGAAAAAACAAAAAAAAAAACAAGTCATAACGATCAACAAAGCTGCATATTTGATATGGAGTAAAACTAGATTTGTTTTGGTCAATAACATGCGCGTGAGTTGAAGCCATTTATAGTATCAAAGACAAACCAAGTGGATAAAAACTTCACTCACATTTAAAAATAGAAATACCTTAAGGAAAATTGAGAAACATCAAAACCAAGTTAAGACAACAACAGTAATGCACTCTCATGTTTTAAGACATTGAAAATATCTTGTCCTCAGAAACCTCTTACCGCTTACAACAACCACCACCACGGTTTCCCGGAGGGAGGTGGAGGAGATTGCCTGTAGTAGAAAGCTTGAGCTTTAGGAGAAGGTTGAGCTTTAGGAGAAGGATGATGGGCAACCGGAGGTGGATAGATCGGAGTAGAGGGAGGAGAATATACTGGAGGTGAATAGATCGGAGTAGGAGGAGGAGAATATACTGGAGGTGGATAGATCGGAGTAGGAGGAGGAGAATATACTGGAGGTGGATAGATCGGAGTAGGAGGAGGAGAATATATTGGAGGTGGAGGAGAAAGAGCAACCGGACGAGAATAAACCGGGGGAGGAGGAGGAGAATATAGCGGTTGGTAGTTAGTGGGAGTTTGCAGGAGTTTTCTGTTGTTGTTAGCTTCACCAACTGTGAATAAGATTGCCAAGAGAAAAACTAGGGTGTAGGAAAGTCCTAGAGACACCATTTTTCTGGTTAATGTTGAGAGCCTTAGACTTAATTATGTTTACATATATATAGTCCATGGAAGATCTCTTAGAGGCTTCCCACTAACTTAATAATTAATGAATATTAGTATTTGTTAGTCAACTGGTTAAGCTGGCTTTGCCTTTTGGGTGCATTTTAAACTACTCTTCTTTTACTTATTAAGGCCTCCCTCTAAATGATAAGCTTGCTTAACCAATAGTATCAATATCAACTATTAAGTACTTTATAAGAAAAAGGATATTCTTTTGGATTATACAAGTATTTTGCTAATTACTTGAAAAATAAAGGATGTTGATCAGACTAATGTTTTCCAGACATGTTACGCTTACCTTTCCTCAAAAGTACGAAACAGGGAGGAGTGTCCTGATTAGCCAGAAAAACCGGCCCTAGAGTATACAATTCGACTAGACTGACCTACATAGACATTGATATTCGAAATGGCGGGTATTGATAAGATCTCATATGTAGAAGAATATCGACTATAAATTACTAAGAACACCATTATCAATGGTCTCTTAATTTTGGTTCTTAAGAACTTTTTAGTATTAAATTTATAAATTTTGGCTTTTAACTTTTTTTTATTCCTTACCTAAGGAATGCATCTTAGATTTTTTTTTTTTGTCGTCTAGATTTATTAATAAAAAACACTACTTTTATTATACTCATCTTATTTTACTAATTTTTTTTTTTACCAATGGTCACCACTCGATAATAGCTGAAACTTTATTTTTGTTGTAATTTAGTTGTTTGCTACCTAACCTCTTATTAGTTTTGTAATTTTACCTTGAGTCTTTCTCATTATTACGTTTTGTGGTTGTATATGACTTATCATATGGTTTTCTCTCCATTTATTTTTGTGTCTTATGGTAAGTTAGTAACATTGACATACAAGTTTTTTTAAATGATGGGTCTTTGAGACGTTTGTTATACTAAAGAATTCAAGACACGACTATTTCTCTTATATGACTATATGAAATGGTAAAAAATTTAAAAGTGTTTAACTAAATGACACTTTAGTTTTTTTCTTTTTTTTTTTCTTTTCATATGAAAACTCTTGAGATCTTGTTCAATTTATGCCTATCCAATATTTAATAATGAGTCTATCATGATGTGGTTAGAGTACTAGATCAGGAGAGTACATCGAACAAGAAATTGTATTTATAATCAAGTTAGGCAAGATTCAAACTACAAAATTAACATAATTACATATAATTGTATAAAAATTTCCTATATTGTTGTTGTATGTATTCATGATGGTGAAAAAATATTAAGAAATTAGAAATCTAAATAATCAGATTTATACATGAAAATGTATAAATTGATATTTCGAGTAGAAATGAATCTAACCATAAAATTTGTAACTACATAAGATGGATCTAATTTTATTAACTATACCATAACAAATAAAAAAGTAAACATAAATTAGCAAAAAGAACAATCAACATAATTTTTTCTTAATAATTTGCAAAACAAACCCATGCGTAGTGTGTGTATTCATCTAGTTTAAAATAATTCAAAAAAAACAAATTTGTGGTTGTAGGGGAATGACTTGTGGATGATTAGGGCAGATCATTTCTGTAATGTAGCACCAAAGTAGCAAAACTTTTTACTAAAAAAAGGCAAAGAAAAATGTAACTCCCCGACCGCCACACCTCTCTTAATGGACCCCATGTTCTCTCTCGGTATGTGGGTCCATTCGTTCCCGACGGTCGGTTTGCTACGTCTGGGAGACTTTAAAGACTTGTTTAGCGACCCTACAAATCACCACATGATCTTCCCTGTGTTCTGTCTTCACTCACACAGTTCCGACAATCACTTCCCGGAAGGTCAACCATCCTGAAATTGCTCCAGCTCAAGCACGCTTAACTGTGGAGTTCTCTGAGGACAGTTGACCGAAAAGATAAGTACACTTTGGTGACATAGGTGGCCAAATCAATTCTTTTAAACCTCTCCGCATGTACCAACATATTCCTACCCCTACTAACAGATCGCAACGTCCTCGTTGCGCACCAAGACCGTCACCCCCCATGGTGTGAGCCCTCTTGACTCCACACTCGTCTAGGTTCGGCTCTGATACCACTTGTAACGCTCCAACCGCCACACCTCTTTTAATGGGCCCCACGTCCTCTCTCGACTCTCAGACCGTAGGCCCATCCGTTCCCAACGGTCGGTTTGCTACATCCGGGAGGCTTTAAAGACTTGTTTACCGACCCTACAAATCACCACATGGTCTTTTCCTGTATTTTTTCCTCACTCACATAGTTCCGATAATCACTTCCCGGAAGGTCACCCATCCTGAAATTGCTCCAACTCAAGCAAGTTTAACTGTGGAGTTATCTCAGGACAGTTGACCGAAAAGATAAGTGTACTTTGATGACATAGGTGGTCAAATCAATTCTTTTAAACCTCTCCGCATGCACCATCATATTCATGAAACCGGATTATTATAAAAAACCGAAGAAAGAAAACAAAAGGCAAATGAAACATTATGCTTTACGCCACCATTCAAATACTATTTAATTTGGCCACATATCGAGGGTGATTTTTTTTTTTTGTCAACATATCGAGAGTGTTTATTATATTAGTGTAATTGTTATTTCACACTACGACTCCGGACCCCTGCGATGTCGCGGGGGAAAATATTTCAAAAATCATTTAAAAAATATCAAACAAAAATTAATAATAACGATAGTAAATGATTAAATATTATTCCCTCTGTCCTATTTTATAAGATAAAATATGTGGAACCCATACAAAATTAAAATAGGATGACTTGGATGATGATATGTACACCCTAGATGGAGAGAACACTCTCCCATTATATATATATGTTTTGTGTTATAGCACAAAGATTAAGAAATAATTAATGTTTACTTTTTTATAGAATTCAGCCAATAGAAAAAAAGACTGCATAATTTAAATGGTCATAACATACTAAATAACCATAAATTATGCATAGAAATCTGGAAAAATCTTATAAAATGGAACAAAGAAAAAATGCTAAAATATCCTATAATTTGGGACAGAGGGAGTATAACAATTTATAAAATAAACTTCAAGTTGCAATTTTTCGTGAAATAAAATAAATGTTGCAATGGTTCAACTAAACGGTTGCAACCATTTTATTAAAGGTTACGATAAAAAGATGCAACCGTAAAAGATATTTACTCAGATTGCAATTTTGAGAGCAGGACAAAAAAATGGAATTTCGAAAAGAAAGACAATATAGAGTTGAAAAAGCACAATTTTACAACTATTCGATAAGTCCATTACGTAGACGAACGTGTCCGTTACAGCTTTAATGTGTGGGGCTCATTTCACTTAAGTATGTCCAAATTATTTAAACCTCTATATTATTGTTTTCCCATGATATCACGTAAATGTTAAATGAATGATATAATTAAGGAGGTTATACTACAAAATATATCCATATGTAAACTATGAAATAAAACCAATTTTATATGTAGTTTACTGGTTTACGTAAAAATAAATTCAATAAAACAACATGACCGTACAAAAATAACTGTAAGAAAAACAACCATAAATATTTAAACGAAAGGTTGCAATAAAAAGACGCAACCGTTCAGATTTGCAAATGGTATTTATTGAAAACGACATAACCGTAAAAAAATAACCGATTAAAACAAAAATTACGATAAAAAGACGCAACGAAAATAACCGTAAAAATAACCGATTTAAATGAAAGGTTGCTATAAAAAAACGCAACCAAAATAACCGTAAAAATAACCGATTTAAACGAAAGGTTGTGATAAAAAGACGCAACCGTTCAGATGTGCAAATGATATTTATTAGATTGCTATTATATGTAGATTAGCATTTTCCTCTTTCTATTAATTTTTACATAAGCCCTTTATATTCTTATTTTCTTTCTCATAATTTGGTATAATGCACCTGTTATTAAATTTTATACTAAACATAATTATTACCAAAAAGAAAATAAAACACTATAAAACTAGCTGAAAGTAAAACACATATTTATGTGTAGTATATATACTTTTAATGATACATTTTATTCAAACCTTCATTTCCTATTATACTACGAATAGATATTAAATCAATAAATCTCAACGTAAAAACATATATTAAATCAATAAGACATAATACTATATATATATATATATATATAAATTAAAAAAATTGCGAAGGTGCTTTAGGCGGCCTCAACAATGTTAGGACCGGCCCGGGAACAAAACGTTAGAAGTAGTTGAATTTCTTTGTGTGATATTTACAATTTTTTTTAATCTACAGATGGTATAGAATCGATCATGTTGGTCACTTTCGTTTGTATCATGTGGTGGACTAATTGACTTGTCCTTTTTTTTTAAGGCTTGCGTATGGATTTTGATTTTTACTTTTTTTTTTTTTTTTGTAGATGAGTTAGTGTTAGGACATTCTATATCGTCTGGTCCTTCCTTTCTTTGATGAAAAAAAAAAAAAAACAAGTTCTAGTCGATCAACAATACTGCACATTTGATGTGTATATAGTAAAAAAAAAAAAAAAACAAGTTCTAGTCGATCAACAATACTGCACATTTGATGTGTATATAGTAAAAATAGATTGTTATTTTTTTTTGTCAATTGCGGGTGTTTTGAAGAAATTAATAGTATTAAATGACAAAAAAAAAAAAAATATGCAAAACCACGAAAAAGGATTGAACTAACCCAGTGGTACAAACTTCACTCACATTACAAAATAGAAGTACCTAAGGAAAAACGAGAAACATCAAAACCAAGTTAAGACAGCAATAATGCACTCTTCTTGTTTTAAGACATTGAAAATATCTTGTGCTGAGTTACCGCCTACAACAACCACCACCAAGGTTTTCCGGAGGGAGGTGGAGGAGATTGCCTGTAGTAGAATCTTTCAGCATGAGGAGAAGGATGAGGAATTGGAAGTGTGGGAGGAAGAGCAACCGGACGAGAATAAGCCGGAGGTGGAGGAGGAGGAGAAAGAGTAACTGGAGGCCGATAAGGCGATGGAGAAGGATAATATAGTGGTTGGTAGTTAGTGGGACTTGGTAGGAGTTTTCTGTTGTTTTTAGCTTCAGCAACTGTGAATATGATTGCCAAGAGAAAAACTAGGGTGATGGAAAGTCCTAGAGACACCATTTTTCAGGTTAATGTTGAGATCCTTAGACCCAATTATGCTTATATATATAGTCCTTGAAAGTTCTCGTAGAGGCTTCCTACTACTTGAAGATTTATTCAAGATCGTAGTTTTCAAGTATATATTAGTATTTTAACTATTAAGTACTGAATAATTAGTATTTGTAGTCAACGGGTTAAGCTGGCTTCGTCTTTTGTTTGCATTTTAAACTTCTCTTCTTTTGCTTATTAAGGCCTCCCTCTAAATGATATGCTTGCTTAACCAGTAGTATCAACTATTAAGTACTTCTTAAGAAAAAATGATCTTCTTTTTGGATTATACAAAACTAATTACTTGAAAAATAAATTATGTTGGTCAGATTGATGTTATTCAGACATGTTACGCATGCCTTTCTTAAATTTACAAAAGAGCAAGGAGTGACCTGATTAGCCAGAGAAGCCGGCCTAGAGTATATAATTCGAGTAGGCTGACGTACATAGACATCAATATTCGAAATGGCGGGTATTTAGAAGATCTCATATTTTAGAAAATTAGCGACTATAAATGACTAACTATCACTAACATACCTCGCATTGCTTATATGTTTAAAGGCCATTCTCTTTTCAAAAAGTGGGTTTTACAACAATAACGCTAACAAGCTAAACTGAATAAACCCTTATGAATAATGTAGAGTTATTTTTTGGGTTATTAATTAAAATAAAAAAACAATTCTACAAAAAATAATAAAAATGTGGATGTAGGAGAATGACTTGTTCCTCCCCTTGACAGGTTACATGTCTAAAAACAGTAACAAAGTTGTGGATGCGGCAATAACTGAATCGTTACCGTTATATGTCTAAAAATAGTAGTATCTGTATGAACGCTATCAACGTCAAGAGATCGAAAAACAAAATCGAGTGAGCAAAAATTAAAGAACAACGAACATAATCAGAATTACACATATGGGAACTAACAAGATTCCCAAAACCCTCAACGGGAACTTTGTTCTTATACTTATCATCACCATAATGATGGTGACTCACTCCCATGGATTTCGACTGGAGATCAAGAACGAGCTATCGGGAAGGTACAGGAAGCTTGTGTACAAATGCTGGTCCCGCGATAATGATTTCGGGTGGCGACAGAACTGGCCAGGTCAGTACAAGGACTGGTCCTTCGCCATTTCGCTATTCCACACCTTCTTCCACTGCCACTTCCGTACAGGGTATGGACGCGTGGATAAGAAGCTAGTTGTGTCGTGGGACCTAAAAGACCGGTGTGGGGACAGGACCAAATGCACTTGGGTCGTTAAGAAGGACGGACTCTACTTGAGAAGATGGAAGACCATATTTTTTAGTAACAAGTATGGTAATGAAAGGTGGAATGACTATATTCCACATGATGTCCTCGAGAACCGTTGGAGCTAATTAATAATTTGGGGATGTTGATTGTTATGAAGATCGCGAGGATATCGTGATTTTCGTCTCTGTATGTTGTTATTCGTGATAATAAAATCATACAATGTGTAAACTATATATGGTGAAAATGAGAAAGAACGTATCTATAAGTACTGTTGTTATATTGGGAATAGATCTATAGCTGGGTACATGTATTAGTTAATGGTATAACAAATAAATAACATGGAACAGTAGATTCATGGAACAAGAGATGCCTAATCTAGAGTATTTAGCTCTTCTGGTGTTCTATGGGATCTTTCAAAGGGAGTTGCGCCTTAAGATCACAAGGGCAAATCTTGATGATGGAAACTGGACAAGTTTACATATTATGGTCTCTAGTCGATCAGGAGATCCTAGGCCAAAAGGGGAAACTCCATAACCTAAAAGGTAATTTAAAAACTTTTTGCAATGCAAGATAATTACCCAAGAACCTTTAGTCGCTATCAATAGAGATTCTTGAAGGGACTATATTTATCAAGAAATCGAAGCAATTTTCAGCTAAATCGAAGAAAATTTAAGAAGTAGCAAAGAAAATCAAATTAGGCAAGCCATTGTGCTCTGATACAAAAATGTGGAAAATAATTTTGTTATTTATTGTTTTTATTGTTTTGTAAACATAACGGAGAATAATATGTACAAATGAAGAAAATCCGGTTTAACGATTTAATTTAGTACCCGTCAAAATTGATACAATATATCTAATAATTATATTTTTTAACATGTGAGTAAACATATAATCCTATACTATTATTTGGGGAGTACACTTTATAAGATATCCTTAACTAACCTTTCATTTTGTAAGAATTTACTTAAGAATGTCATTACAAAAATCTTCTTTTAGAACAAATTTCATTCAATTTATTAAGGATAAACAAGTAAAATACTAATTTATGTCATTTAATTAATTTAATTAAATTATAAAACGAAAATCTGTTATTATATATTTTTTTAAATGACCAATCAAAATAAACATATAAGATTTGATATCTAACTTACCATATTAATTTGTTATTAATCATTAAACTTCACCTCTCATCTTTATATGATTATATTAATATGAAACAAATAAATCATCATATCATCTACATAATAAAAAAAAAAAGTAAATTTTTTTCTGCATATGCCAAGATTTGAATTTTTAAAAACGCATATAAATTGTTCAATCTATAAAAGAAACAATTAAACGGGTCAAAAATTCAGACTTGAGTAAAATATTTATTTACACAAAAATAAAGTCAACAAAAATTCCGACTGATCAACGGGTCAGAATTTGAATATTTATATTCGATTTCATACATTTATTTTTTTGAAATGTATAATTTTATATACTACAATAAAAAATTTAAATATTTTAATTTGCAACATTTAAAATAAGTTTTACTTGATATTTTTAGAGAATATCATCAATACTTAATAGTTCAAAAAGTTAAAAATTATAAATACTCTAATTTGATTATTTTTAAAAATATTTATAATAGGTAGCGGGTTAAATATAATATATTATATGATGAAATGAGTTTTGATCCTTATAACTATTTGAATAGTTATATTTAATTTCATATAATTTGTTTTTTGAAATTCATAATTTTATAAACTACAAAAAAAATTTAAAGATTTTAATTTGGAATATTTAAAATAGTGTAGAACATTTAAATATGGTTTGACACCTCTAAATATTTGAAAATTTGATTCCGTAAGCAATTTTAGAATTAACGAATAATAGATTGTGCACACAATATTTTAAAATGAAATATTGAGATTCTAAAATAAAAATATAGACTCCACGCACGGGTTGATTTTGGTATTATTATATACTAAATATATGTTTATAACATATTCGATTATGCGAATACTTGGTAAATTCCGTAATTATAAATCTCAAACAAATTCTGTAATTAGATTAGCACAAACAAATCTCTATTTCAACAACGAAAGAATTATGAATTGAAAAAGAATTTTCTAAATTAATTCAAAATAATACCTAATTTTCTTAATTAATTGAAAATAATCTATGTTTTATATGCGATTCATTTATGATATTTTAATTTTTGATCTAATTGAAATATATGCAATCCTATTTTGTGGTTGTTAACATAAATTAACTCATTGTTCAAAAATTATTACTTTTTAAAAAATAAAATTATTTTCCGTTTTCATATCTTAAAAAAAAAAATTATCCATAACTGAGTATTATAGAAAAAAATTCTATATTTATTCTAATATTGTATATAGGGACTGACAAAAAAATTAATATTTTTTCACTTACTATTATAATATATTAAAACTTAGTTCTAATATATATATTATATAAATTTTGTAATAAATAAAATTCAACCCGTACTAAAGTATGGGTGATGATCTAGTAATAATTTTATTTTTGTAAACATGAAAACTTGAAATCTTGATAAATGTGAATAGTGAAAAAGTTACAAAAACGCGTTATAAAACTAAAAAGGTGTATGATGATAACGTCCTAAACTTTTAACCATCATACCTATGTGATAAACAATCTCAAAGATTATGATGACGATTTGTGGTCAAAGTTTCGGAAACAACACATTTTATTTTTCAACTTTTGGGATTTATTCTCTGTTCTATCTCCAAATATAGATGACAATAGCTTCTAGCTAGTACTTCTAAATTTGGAAGCCGCAACAGTAACGGTCTAATTGCCAGTTAATACACATTATATATCGGTCATTTCTACCTGTCTCAATTTGTTCCGTAAGCACCAAGACTCAGACGAAATCAAGAATTAAGAAAACATAGCGATCATTTGATCGAAATGGGGAGAGACCTCGGCTGGTGCTTCTTCGTGGCGACGGTTGTGGTGGTAGCAGCTTTGTTACCCACACTAACCATGGCGGGTCGTCTAGAGCTAAAGAACGAAATCTCAGGGGTCGCTAGTGTCCGTAAAGCGAAGCTAGCCGTGCGGTGCTGGTCAAACGAGGATGACCTAGGGTGGGATATGATAAAGCCAAAGCAATCACGAGTATGGACGTTCACGACAATGAACATGTGGCCCTTTCAGAAAACTGAGTTCCGTTGCCAGTTTCGTAGCGGGTTTGGAACCACGAACGAAGACGTTGTGACGGTGTTTTCTGTCAAGGGCGGGTTTCGAAAGGAATGTGGGGTGGGAGGGGACGAGTGCTTTTGGGTAGGGAAGAGAGATGGATTATATCTAAGAAGGATCGTAAAAGATGGAGGAGGGGATAGTCGCAAGAAATATGTTGATGTTCTCAAAAGCAAATGGGTTTGGAAATGGTGAATCTTCAATTCTTTTTATCCAACAATCATTAATTTTATTTTTTTGTCGATAACATGCAATTTATGGGTTTGGAAATGACACAACACAAACCATTCGGCTACTACGAGTCTTCATCACAACTCTCAACCATTGATATCGATCATTTTTTATACCCTTTCCCTTTGTATTAGACTTGGACGACACTATCTTGAGAGATATATTCATGGGGTTATAAATACACATACAAGTATACTTTGAGATTTACGATACTACACTAAAAAGCATGGTGTAGTATTATTATTTCGAATCATAATTTTTTTTTATAGTTAATCTATTTTTTCTTTTTATTAACTATAGAAGTTCCAAACATTTGGTCATAATCTCTAAAATATTTAATCTTTTAGTTCAAAAATCTTGAATCCGGGAGATAAAACTTGTATATTGGTCAAATTCATAATGGTGAGTTAGTTTAAGTTTCACATGCTTCCAATTCAAAACTAATTGACAATGAGTGGATTGGTTTTTTTTTTTTTTAAACCAGTATAGTGTTGGTCCCTTCAAACTTCCGTTATGTGATCCTAACACACCCACTCAAGATCAGAGCTGGCGTAGAGAATTATCGAGCGACAAATCCAAAAGTTTTTAAGGCCTATTATAGAAAAAAGACAAAATAAAAATAAACATAAATCAGTTGCTAGGATTCAAACTCATGTCTTTTGAGTGTAAAATCTACTGCCTTTACCACCCGGACAAGGGAACTCTTAGAATAAAGAGACCGATTTATTGACTATATAATCTACGGCCGCACGCTGATGCTTCATGAGCTTCTGTCCCGAGCCGGCTTTGCTCAAGATAATGGCTCTTACTAGTCCATCTCAAACCGAATCCCACTATAGGACCGATAATAAATCCCTTTCTTGGGCTACCCTACTTAGATCAACAAAGGAGGATTTGGTATCATGAGTTTCATATGTTTCTTCAAAACTAATTGGTAATGAATAAATTGTCCCATAATTTTCCTTTCAAACTTTTGATGTGAGATCAGATTCTAACAATTTAAAATGTTGAATCACGATGCAAATTTAGTTTGTAACACAACCGCTACTATTCGTGGCCTCATTCCCGCTCTCGACCCGTAAACTCCACTCTCGTCTGAAGAGACAAAGCTATAGAATCGATAGTCCACTACAATATTTTAGTATTGAGATTTGGCACCAAAATTACATATAAATCGTATATCATATACTATATAGCTAGGAGATCCTTTTATTAAACAATCTATTACATAGTTGTGAAGTTTTTTTTTTCTTTTTTGTCAACGAAAATAAACTTAGTCTTGAAGATTAATTTTTTTTTCCCAAGAGAAAGTCAATGAAACGCACTTCTTCCCTGCGTTTTGAAATTGGTCGTCGCCTCCTCCAACAAAAAAATATCTCACCGCTTCAGACCAAAACCTCATATGACAGATACCCGAGTCATCTCGACCTGGACCGAGTTAACTCGCGACTCAGCTATTTACTTGCTCTTCACGTTTTTCGCCATCAAAGTCTACATATTTCTCTTCTGCTGTACTCGAACCTCTGAAATGTCATCGTTTTCGATGGCGACTCATCCCGAAGCTCTCCGGCGAGAACGAATTCTCAACAGCAAACTCTACTTCGACGTTCCTCTTTCAAAGGTAACAGATTTTTCATGTGTCTTCGTGCGTACCCATGAGAAATTTCACGACTTTGACAAAGAAATGGATTTTGATTGATAGGTTTCGATTATCTATTCATCGGCCTATGATATTTCGTTCATGGGTATTGAGAAATTGTGAGTCTTTCTCTGTTGACAAATCTTGAGAACTCGAAAGTTGGTGTTTTTATTTTTTTGTGATGTTGAGATTTGATATTGTGTAGGCATCCATTTGATTCTTCCAAGTGGGGTAGAGTTTGCAAGTTCCTTGTTTCAGATGGGTTTTTGGAGGAGAAAGCAATTGTTGAGCCTCTTGAAGCTTCAAAGATTGATCTTTTAGTGGTACTAATTGGTTTCTCTTAGATGTATGAACTGTGATTAGTCACTGATGGCTATAATTCATATGGTTCATGTATTGGTATCTTGATGGTTGTGTAACCTTTCGTTTGCGGTTGTTCTGTATTAGGTACATTCTGAGAATTACTTAAACAGCTTGAAAAGTAGTGCCACTGTCGCTAGGATAACCGAGGTAATGTTGGATTTTAAATGAGAATTGGTCACTGAATGATCTGTTTGATTCTTGTTGAACGAAAGTTTTCTGTAATGTATAGGTTCCACCAGTTGCCTTTTTTCCGAATTTTCTTGTGCAGCAGAAAGTTCTTTACCCATTCCGAAAGCAGGTAGAAGAATTGTTTATTGCCTTACTTCTTTGATTGTTTACGAGAACTTTATATTTGTGGAGTGATTAACAGGTTGGTGGGACGATTCTGGCAGCTAAACTCGCAACAGAACGTGGATGGGCAATAAATATTGGAGGAGGTTTTCATCATTGTACTGCGGAAAGAGGAGGCGGATTTTGTGCTTTTGCTGATATTTCTCTCTGTATTCACTTTGCATTTCTTCGTCTGCGATTATCAAGGTAAAGTTTATCTAATGGTATCTGATTAGACCTTGATATGTTAATCATCTCCTTGAACTTGTTAAACTTGAACAGGGTTATGATAATAGATCTTGATGCTCATCAAGGGAATGGCCACGAAACAGATCTCGGCGATGACAGTATGATAAAACCTTTTTTTTATTTCATGATGCTTTGTCATAATGGTGTTTGGTATGTTGATAACAGTATATTGTCTGCAGACCGCGTTTACATTCTGGATATGTACAATCCCAATATATACCCTTTTGTAAGCTGTCATCTTTGGAGCTTCACACTTTTGAAGTCATTTCCATTCCTTTGAACTTATAGTGCAGTTACCTCTGTGCTTGCTTTTGACAGTTGGATGTATCTGCTCTGTTTTTTTCTCTCTTTCTTTTTCTCACAGGATTATAGAGCTAGGAGATTTATCGATCAGAACATTGAGGTCGTGGTAAGCCTATCGTCTTACATGTATCAGCTAGAATTAGTTTGATTGTTTTGTGTCACATTATAGTTCTGTCCTTTTCGTATATCTTGACAGAGCGGGACCACCACCGATGAGTATTTGAGGAAACTAGATGAAGCCCTTGAGGTATGCATTCGAGCATTTCCTAATCTCATGTTTCCTGGCGGTTAACCTATGTGATATAGTCTGACTGGAGATGATAGATTAGGAGCATAGGAACTTGGTTCCTCGAAAAACTATGTGGTCTTTAGGGATCTTAAGAGAACCTATGTATAACTGTCAGGTTGCTTCGCGAAACTTCCAACCGGAGTTGGTAATTTACAATGCTGGGACAGATATATTAGATGGTGACCCTCTGGGACTTCTAAAGGTAATTTATATACTGCAGATGACACATATATATCGCAGCAGGATATATAGTTTCTTCCTCAGTTACAATGTCTCTAACTTGGTGACTCTTGTGTGACAGATAAGCCCTGATGGCATAACGAGTAGAGACGAGAAAGTCTTCAGATTTGCAAGGGAGAAAAGTATTCCTCTTGTGATGCTAACTTCAGGTGCTAAATTGGATTTTAACATATATAAACCAACAATGTATGGCCTTTGTGAGTAATGGTTTTTAAAGGATAAAAGAAGTTATGTGATGATAATACTTTGTGCAGGCGGGTACATGAAGTCAAGCGCCAGAGTTATTGCGGATTCCATTGAGAATCTCTCACGACAAGGGTTAATCCAGACACGACCGGAATAAAGTTTCCCACTTAAACTGTCATAGAGCCAAAAGCAGAGTTTCGATGTGTGTATATTTGTATAGAGAGTTTAAGAGAGACCCTTATGATGTGTTCGTCACCTTTGTATATGTGTACCTTTCCCCTTTTCGTCTAATGGAACCTGAATTGGTGGAGCGTTTGTACTTTAAACATTGTGTATTGTGTTCTTTGGTGTTAATGATTGATTATAAGTAACTGAAAAAGACTTCATTCGTTGGCCCTTTTGGACTTAAGGATGATGAATGATAATTTAGCATTACCTAGTTTAATTTACTTGTAGTAAGTTCGGTGTTGAAACTTGTTAGCTTTCTATGAAAAAACTCCCAATGAGTTTGAAGAACATTACTTGTAATAGTATTATTTAAATCTGTAAACACTATGAACAACAAAATTATAGGATACTTTTGACAATTAAGAAGTACTGAAACCAAACAAAAACGAAAAAAAGAAACCAAATAATAATAGAATATAATTCTCTCCTCATCTCTAAGAGGAACGTAGCACTATGTTTATAGCTAAATGCATCTAAATCCTGTCTCTTCCTCAAAGAACTTTCTCATTCTTTATTCTCATTCTCTAGTTTATCTCTTAGTCAAATTTAATATATATAGTCCAATCTATTGAACTACTTACCTACATCAGCTTATTAGAGCTGGTGTACTAGTACTTCAATAGATTGGACTATATATATTGAATTTGACCAAGACATTTCTCCAAGAAAAGACTAACACAAAACCAACGAGATTCTATAGGTTCCGGAAAGCATGGAACATCTTTGGGGAGAGAAGTAGGACGAAAGCAAGAATCGAACCGAAGAACATCTTGACAATGTAACTGAAAGCATCTGACGACTCGCTATCTTCTGAGAGAACTGCATTTGGGTTCGACATTGCTTCTGCTGAAGGAAGCGATTCTATCACTGCATCAGCTAAGTCGGTGATGAAGGATGGTGTGAGACCTAGTGCTGGTACCCGTCCCCAGTTCTCTACCCCTGATTCCAGAGCTAGTTCCCTATACTCCATGTCTATCTCTTCAAGTGTCTCAATGTGCTCACTCACGAAACTGAGATCCAAAATAAGACAGAAAATTGAGAAAGCCGAAATGATCAGTAACTATAGAATCTGATAATGGACGATTGGAAAGTATCTCTTCCACAATACGGAAATGAGCTAACAGGGATTATTATATGGTCTCTCACCTGACTGGAACGGCCAGTAGACTCTTAACACCACTCTTACCAAGGTCGACAAGAACCTCATCGGTGTATGGCTTCAGCCATTGAACAGGCCCAACACGACTCTGGAAAATTGCAAGAATCAATTAAAGGGTTTGACATAAAGAGGTAATGCCAATCAACTCTTAAAAGCATGATATGACCAAACCTGGTATGCCAATTTATGGTCGTTAAGAACCCCTCTGGCTTTTAGCTCTGCCATTATCAAGTCAATACACTCTTCCATCTGCTTCTGGTACGGATCTCCAGCATTCTCTACGTAGCTGACCGGAACACCATGGGCGCTGAAGAATATCATAACCTAAATCATACAGACAAGGGACCAATTTAACCACTGTTTAGACTAGAAATGTGTAGTGAAGAGAAATAAACAGAGGGGATATATAACTATACCTCCTTAGGATCAGAGAAAGTTTGAAGCTCCTTCTCAATGAGGTCAGCCATGGAATTGACATACCCTCGCCTTTGGTACCAGGACTGTATAATAGCTACCGGCACTCCAGCTAGGTACGGATCTTTCCTGAATGATGATGATTCAGGTTAAGGGCCGCTCGTGAAACTAAGAAATCTTTTAATACTAAATAACCAATAAACTATGAATATGCTCTGTAGCTTGCACAAACCTGAATAAGTCTTGGAGAACGCGGATGCTTGAACCCGTCGTGGAGATAGAATACTGAGGGTACAATGGCAGTACAACAAGTCTTGTAATTTTGTCCTTCTTTATCTGGTTAAACGTAATTAGCTTGTTAAGATAACCATAACTAGGACACAAACATAAGAAACTCCATCAATACTGAAAGCAATAATCACAATTAAAGTTTAAAAACCACCTGCTGAACAGCCTCCTCAGTGAACGGATACCAATACCGCATACCGACATAAACATTAGCAGCAATGTTCTTCGCTTGCAAAGCCATCCGAATAGCATCCGCTTGCTCATCAGTTATTTTACGCAAAGGAGAGCCACCACCAATAGCAGCATACCCTTCTTTGGATTTCGGAGCACGAACAACAGATATAAACTTAGCTATAGTCCCTTGAAGAAACTGAAATGGTCTAGGAAGCCGTATAATATCCTTCAACAACAACAACAAAACCAATCATCATTCCCAAAACAACTCTTAACATAAATCACAAAACACAAAGTCAAAGATTCTCACCGGATCAGCAAACAGATTATACAAGAATGGTTGAACATCATTAAGAGTTTCAGGACCACCTAAATTCAA